GACCACAGTCATTTGGAGTATTCTTCCGATGGGACGCACAGCCATGTAAACGAGCACGAGGCTCAGTTTCTAGTTGCGCTGTGTCGCTACTTACTGCAGCAAGGATATTCGTCCAGTCAAATCACTCTTCTGACGACCTACACAGGACAGATGTTTGCCATTAGGGATTGTCTTCAAGCGGCCAAAAGTGAAGAGCTGAAGCAAGTACGCCTTACGACCGTGGACAACTTTCAAGGCGAAGAAAGTGACATCATTCTTCTTTCGCTCGTTCGCAGCAACAAAGACAAAAAAGTTGGCTTCATATCAGATGTGAACCGCGCATGTGTGGCACTTTCACGCGCTAAGAGAGGATTCTATTGCATTGGAAACTTTGCTCTTCTCTCCAAACACAGTGAGATCTGGGGCAAGATTGTACCAGATTTAAAAAAAAGTGGTAACATTGGAAACGCTTTGCCTTTTGTCTGTCAAATCCACGATGACGAAATGATGGCCGAAACAGCCGAAGATTTTAGGGAGAAAGCTCCCGATGGAGGATGCCAGCGGCCATGTGAAGTGCGTCTGGAGTGCGGTCATGCGTGTAAGCGGCTATGTCATCCTTATGACACCGAGCATTTAGAGTATCGTTGTGGAGAGCCATGCGCTAAGAAAATCGAGGGATGTGACCATGACTGTCCTAGGCTTTGTTATCAAAAGTGTGAAACAGACTGTTATGAGCGTGTGGAAAAAACACTGCCGTCCTGTGGACACAAGCAAACAGTACGCTGTGGCACGGACTCGAGCAGAGTGCGATGCAGAGAACAGTGCGATAAAATTCTACCCACGTGCTCTCATCGCTGTCAGAGTCGTTGCGGTGAACCTTGTACCAAACAATGCCAGGAGCTCGAAAAGAGAACGCATTGGCCATGTGGACATGAAGTCAACATTGCTTGCTCGGCCACTCAAGCAGATTGCCCAATCCCCTGTGGGGCGAAATTGGAATGTGGTCACCAGTGCTCTGGAAAGTGTGGCGAGTGTCGAATGGGTCGGGTGCACAAACGGTGCAGATCGAGGTGTGGTCGTTTGCTGGTATGTTCTCATCTTTGCAAAGTGCCATGTCCAATGTCCTGTCCGCCATGTTCCTCGCCGTGCGAAAACCGTTGTGTCCACGCCAAGTGCAAGCACCAATGTGGAGAGGCGTGCGTGCCGTGCAGTCACAAATGCGCATGGAGGTGTGTCCATTACAAGTGTGATAAACGATGTTGTGAGTTGTGTAATCGTCCAAGATGTGACAAGCCTTGCAACAAGATTCTCAAGTGTGGTAGTAGGCGTTATCCCCACCCTTGTCGTGGTTTGTGTGGAGAGGTCTGTATTTGTGCCGTGTGCGAGAAAAACGGTGAAGATGCAATCACTGAAATGAATTTAGGTGGCGAAGACGAGGAGGATGCATTGTTCATTCAGCTCCCAGACTGTAAACACATCTTCGCCGTGTCGGATCTTGACAGGTATTTATGGCACTTTGTTTAGCTTGTATCTTCTAAGATACCTTTATAATTTGATTGACCTACCAGCAGGCGTTTTGCTTAAGTTAAAAACGCACCCCTTCCCCATTTGAAGGCGTTTTTTATAAACGGGTACCGCCATAACTGATTCATTCCGACAATTAACAATAGGTGTATCTCTTCTAATGGAAAATGAGGCTCAAACACCTTACTTAACTTGATGAACTTCAAAGACTTACTCAATACTCGGGCACTAAATCGAATCATTACGGTAAGTGATTAGCTCAGTATAAAATGTCGAGAACAAGGCCCTGTTTTTGCGAAGAAAATTAGAATCGTTTTAGGTTTACGCGTGAATAAAAGATTCTTTCCGTCAAAGTTAAATGAATGCTTGTGAAAACTATATTTTACAAGGTTTTATTGAAATGATTCATAATTTTTTGCTTAATATTTCTTTTCCCAGTGATATACCAATAGATGCCTCAAAGAGTTTTACTTATAAACTCGAATCAACTGACAATTCAGACAACAGAATTTATTAAGAGCGAAATGCGATTGCTTCTTAGGTACATGGACACGACAAACGATGACTCAGATGACCGTCACGTGATTCAACTGAAATCCTGTCCCCGTTGCAAGACTGCAATCCGCAGGAGCCTGCGATACGGTAATGTCATAAAACAGCAGCTACACGACATCGAGCAAGTGAAGAGGAAGGTGCGTGGAGAGTGTGGTGAAGTGATAAAGACGAAGGAAAGGTTGGAAACACGCTTGATAGCCCTAAAGAGTACGTTTAACGACGACGACGAGATGAAGGAGTGGGAGAGGTTAGAGAGAAGGTTGAGACGAATGTCCAAAGGATCGAAAACATCAGCAGTTGTGACCGAGAACCAAGTGACACTGATGGAACGATTTTGCACTATGAGCCAGAAACTAAAAGATAATCTTTTTAGTGTCCCCCGCAGCGAAGTAAGCACGCAGAGTCGCTTGGAAGGTACGTTCATGTTTCTATCTTTTCGGCT